AAACCTAGTGCTCTGGGGCTGGATTGTTCTGTGGAGTCTTGACATGGACTGGAATCTCTGGAGTCCCGGGCCCTCTACTCCCCATGCAGTAGCTCGGGCACAAGAACTTTGGGATCTCTGACTTGATCTGTATCCTCCATTCCTCTACCTTCTACCAAGAACACAAAAAGAACAAAATAGAGATTGCTCATATTTTCCAAGTTTTGTTCTTTTAAAAAATGTAATCCCCTCCTGCCCCCCATTTTCTTCTTGAGACAATCTACCAAAAGGAATCTGTTTGAATCCCACAGTTCTCGGGAGCCTCACCATTTGAAAATGTCTCAAAAGCACAGAGCCTGGTGATAATGGTAACTGCCATATTTATTAAGGACCAAAAAGGCAAGCACTAAGCAAGCATTATTGTTCCAACAACTTAATGAGGTGAAAATTATTATTCCCAGTTAGGGCAATTGGCTTCCATCCTACCCCCACTGCCACTAGGTCAATTCTGACTCATTGTCACCCTGGAGAGAACTACTCATAGGGTTTCAGGGACTATAACTCTCCATGGGAACTGACAGCCTGTTTTCTGGTTCAGTTGCCACCAGGGGCACAGTTAGCTCTTCAGCTTAACTTGCTGCACCACCAAGGCTCCCGAATTGATGCCCAGGGAGATGAAATAACAGAAGGAATTTGAACAGGATGTGAGCCTGGAGTCCACATCGTTCATATTCAGTCCTCTCTCCTCTGAGGCTCTAGCCAGTTTGTGCTTTGCTGCTGCCGGATCTTCCTTCTCAAAACCTCAAATTCCCTGCCCTTGAGTCAGTTCCCACTCCCAGCAACCAACCCTGTGGGTTTCTGAGACTGTAACTCATTATGGGAGTAAAAGCCTGGTCTGTCTCTCGAGGAGATCCAGGGGGTTTCAAACTACTGACCTTGCGGTTGGCAGGCCAAAAATGACACTAGAGCTCCACCTTCCTTCCAGGACTCCATTAAGGAGCACTGGTGGTGTTGGGCTGTTACCTGCAAGTTCAGCAGTTCGAACTCACAGGAGTTCCTCCACAGGACAAAGAGGAGGCTTTCTTTACTCCTGTAAAGATTTATAGCTGTGGAAACCAGAGACAGTTCTATTTGGCCCGAATAGAAGCTTTGGCATAAGTTTGAGGGCTCTATTAGCTCTGTGCAACACAACGTAATACCACCCTTACATTTTGTTTAGGAGTTAAGACTTTTCTCATATGCACCAGTGTCCCCAACCTCAGGTTCAAAATCCACTTAGAGAAAACAGCCTACAACTCACAACAGGGCAAGGAATGAAAGACAAAGAATGGCTCTCTCCTGGGAAACATGATTCACTCAAGTCATGGATTGGATTGTGTCCATCCAAAATATGTGTCAACTTGGCTGGGCCATGATTCCCAGTGATTTGGCAGTTATATAATGACTCATTTTGGTGATGTGATCTGTTTTCATCAGCCAATCAGTTGTGAGGAGACTAGGGTAGGATACAGTACCCTTACACAGCCCTCAGGGGTTGTCCATGAGGTGTGGCTGACCTGCATTGTTTGTTGTCTTAGCAAGAAGGGTCTCCGTAGCACGAAGAGCAGGGACCTGAACCCTTCCTTTGGACCTGGGGTCCTTATGCTGAGGCTCCTAGACCCAGGGGAAGACTGAGCGAAGATGCGTGGAAATCTCTAGGGAAAATCTTCCCCTTAGAGCTGGGACCCTGAAATTGGACTTCTAACCTCCTGAACTGTATTTGTTAAAAGCCATCTACTTGTGGTATTTATTTTTAAAAATTTTTAAGATCATTTTATTAGAGCTCTTACAGTTGTAGTATTTCTGTTAGAGCTGCAGTAGTTATTGAAGACAACAGATTCATATTCAAATAGTTTCCATCAAATGATTTCTCTTTAACTGTCCTTTGGAAAGTTTGTTAAAGGAAGGAATGTAGAGAGAAAAAAGATACCTGATTGGTCCTTAAATGGCTAGGGATGCCCTGGTGAAGGGTCAAGTCTCTACAGCGGCCTCTTGAAAGAAAGTCCTGGGGATCTACTTCTAAACCAACCAGCCACTGAAAACCCCACTGGAGGGCAGTTCTACTCTGACCCCTTTTAGCTTGCCAAGAATCAGTCTTCTAGGACTTATGAAGCAAGGCGCCTCAGCGGTGGAGCTAGGCATGACCCCAAAGCCAACGATTTTAACCTACCAGCTCTTCTGCAGGGGAAAGATGAGGCTTTCTACTCCTGGATTTACAATCTCAGAAACCCGCAGGGGCAGCCCGACTCTGTTCTAGAGTCTCTGTGAGTTAGAATGGCCTCGATGGCAGTGAGTTCTCAAACAGGTGTCGTCAGTATTTTTAAGAGACAGTGTCACTTCCTACTTACTGCACAGGACGCCTCTCCCCGGCAGTTCAGGGTCAATCCACGGAGAAATGTTCCTTTTAGGTCTTGGGAGGTGACAAATCGGACCAAAGTGTCAGTGCTGATTTTCCTTACTGGATCCAAAGCTGGCTCTCCAATTAGGAACTAAAGCCTTCTCTATTTTTTCCTGTGAGGTGGCTCACAACACCCCCTAATTCCCCTATCCAAGCATTGGTCTGGCCAGTATTGAAAACGTTTCTTCCTGGTATTAACCTAGAAACAACAAACACGTCAGCTATTTTTTGTGGACCGCACTACCATGTTTACACAGTCCTGGCTTACCCTGTATCCTTTAATGAGCCCAAGAGCTTGAGATGACTTAGCTTCTTGTGACTTGAGAATGGCCAGGGCAGACCAGCAGTCCCTGAGCAAACCCAAGAAGCGCCCATCTAAAAACTGTTTGCACAGATGCAAAGGCAGGGGAATTTGTATGGCCGAAATCCCAAAGTCTGTTTTGTTTTTAGTCATACACCCAACCAAGTGCACAAAATTCCACAACATGGGGTTAGTGGAAATGTCAGCTCTCCTATTTTTAGACTGAAAGCTGGCCCTCCTGAGAGCGAGGCTACCATCAATGTAAAGAGTCAGGATGAAATGACCGAAGTGGAGGTTAAAAGAACAACGACGAAAAAGCCACACATACCCAAATCTAACAGTGGTAAACAGTTTTTATTCAGGCAATGAAACATGGAAAAAATATATTAGTAATCATTATAATAATTTCATTTGTGTGAGTGTAACTTTTACAAATATTTACCTGACATATAAAAAGGGAAATTACTGTGCATATAAAATTTATGCAGATGATTTTTTTCTACACAACAGTCCCAATAGCAGCAGTCAACACGGAGCCTGTTCCTGGGGCCTGGGGGCTCCTCACACACCGCATGGCACTCAAGGGTCGCAGGGGAAGCAGGTGTGCAATTCACGGTACTCATTGGCACGTTAGTACACATGAGGGACATCTAGTGGTGCGTGCACACACACGCGCACACACACACTTGTTACCAGCAACATGGATAAGTTTACTGCTGCCTCTGAGATTCAAAAGAAATGCCTGGATCCCAGCCCAGTTTGATGTGAAGGCGCGAGGCTGAAGCTGTGGGTGTGGTGACTGACAGGCTGCCCTGTCCCTGGACTGTGGGTTCACATTTTTTTGTAAGACCGCCTGAAATGTACAGAGTATTGGTTAGCAGTATGACTTGGAAACACTATTTTTTTGGAGTTGAGTTTGGATGCCAGTAAAAAGTGGAGGTGGGGGCGGAGTGGCATCTGCAGAGCTAGAAACAGGAGATACAGGAAGGGTTCGGCCGCCCCTTAGCTCCAAGTCCGGCTTTCTTCCCAGAGCTAAGGTGGTATACAGACTGCCTCAGGCCAGCATGACAGGCAACATCTCCACATAAGAACTATAACCAGAACAGACACACACATATATAATAGCTATAGCCATTATTATAGTTAATGAAGTCATTCCTTAGGAATCTTTGTTCGTCCAAACCTAACTGCATGCCAAGAGGCACAGGAACGGTGGAAAGCGCACTCTTTGGGAGGCCTCCAGGACGCGCTCTGGCGCCAGGACGTGGGTCTTCACAGAGAGCATTGCCAGGGATGCTGGCTTCCAGAGATCTTTCAAGAGAAGAGTTTGCTAGAGCAGTTCCTTGACCCTTCTGCTACACGGGAGACTCAAGCAAGGGTTGAATGGCAGTTAAGAACAACAAACCAATCAAACCCTTGTAGAACAGAAGTCCCCTTAAAACACTCTTCTTTATTAAAATCTTTGAAGTAGACACCTTCTTAGACCTTTGGCTTGCCACGCGGCTATTTCTCTGCTTGCCCTTTAAAACTTCATTTTGGGTTCGTGGCCGCCCTTGAGGCCTCTGCTACCTTTTAAAGACGGGCTGCTGTTAGGGGTGAGCCAGGGGATACTCCCCAGTCATAGCGAACTGAGGGCTTTCTAGGTATCTCTGCGGGAGCTGTACAGCGCCTGGGATAGGCATAAAGGGTACGGGGCAGGAAAGAACATTAAACGTGTGAGCTAGCCTCCACAATGAAATGTGAGCCTTCCCTTAGCTTCCATACCCTTCTGGGACGCCACCTACCCCCTGCCAGCTGCTGCACTTCCTAACTTGGCTGCTTCTGAAGAAGCGAGAGGTCATGTGAGAAAACTGTTCAATAGTTCCAGAAGGGTTTCACAGAACAAATGAGCTTCCCGGAAGAAAGTAAACCTCTGCAGGTCTGGCTGGAACTGCCTACACCTCGCCCACCAGATGAATACACCAGGCCTTCAGTAGGCAGTTCGCGAGAGTCTGGCTCCATCTGGCAAAGCCAAGCCCGCCGGAGAGGCCTCAGCAGCATCACCTAGGACCGGAACCACTTCCCAAGGCAGCGGCTTCCTGATGGTTCCCCTCTGCTCGGTTATGGCACGGTTACTATTGCTTGACTAACCAGGCATTTGGTGCTCATGGGTTTCAAAAACAAACGCGGGGCTAGAGTCTCACTCTCTAGAGCTCCAAAACAGGTTTGTTTGTTTTTTTGCTTATTTTTAAAGAAAAACAAACAAAATTCAGTCTGCTCAGCATAGTTTCCTGATGTGCCACCTGTCACAGCTACATGTTCATTCTTGTTGGCCTGAAGCCACCTAAGCATATGTCATGGTCGGGACTCAGAGGCCCAGTAGCAAGTATTCTTATCAAGGATCCCTTGTATTCCTTTTCAGTGAAGGTTCTCTTCCATCTGTTAGGAAAGGATTGTCGTCACCTTGTAACACAGAGCCACTTCTCTGACACACAGTCTTTAAAAACAACAACAAACTATTGGGAACAAAATAGAAGATGACTATGGATTTATGAGGGAGACACGAAAAGTCTTTTATGCTTAAAACAGATCAAGTAAAACAAGTAAACGTGACATGCCATCTAAACACAGGAGTAAAAACAGGTTTAGCTAGGTTTCTTTCCACGGGATGCAAAGCTTATTGAGGACATCTTTTCTACCAACCAGATGTACTGTGTCTGATTCGACGTCAGGGTAGCATGCATAGTCAGCCACCACTGTACCTGCTCTCAGAGCCCAAATGATTGTCAAGTCACTTCTCCAACCCAAGATAATTTCTGTTGTTCTTTTTTTCTTACCCCTGTATACAAAATGTTAAGATGATAGGCCTGGAAATACAGCCTAAGCACCAATTATGATGACTGCATATTGGCCAAGCATAACTTCTGTCTTGAAGAGACACCTACCCCCACACACGAATAGCACAATAAGGAAAGAGTCACTTTGAGAGGTTGACAGAGGTTATCTACCAGGCACAACTCTTGGCTGAAGTTGGATCATGCAATAGTTGTACAAGAAAAGTCAGAAAACGTACTCATACTACTGACTGTAGCGCATATCCCCACCCCGTGAAGAGCTTCAGGGTGTACCATTAAGACAGAAGAGTGCTTCTAAATATCTGTATGGATTTGGGTTTGCTTATCCGAGGTAAGGGAATTATTACATGGAAAGCTGCCCCACGTCCCCATCATTATGGACTTGCTTTTGTTACACACAAGACCTTCTGCCTTCTGCTCCCCTCTCCCAGAATTCAAGTGGCCTTTGCTTAAAGGTACTTAAAACCAACTGATTCCTGGAGTATTTCTCATGATTTTGACTGACTGTTTTGTTTAAAAAAATCCCTCTATTTTAAGTTACAAAGGATTCCCCACCCTCCCCCCACATTCCTTTTAAAGAATGTTTGCAGAGCAACTCACCTTATGTGTGTAAGAAAAGAAAAATAGCGACAACTATTTCTTTACCTTGTAACTGCTGATGGGCTGACAGTGACCTTTGAATTAAACAAAATCACCGAAACTTCTGTCAAGCAGATTTTCTTTGTATATTTCAGACAGAATAATAATAAAGGTGAAATACTGATTTCTGCCTCAACCAATCAAAGCAGAGGGTAGCCCTGGCCTGAGACGGACAGGCCAACCCCTGGGCTTCATGGTGTCTCAGTGTTTGTCCCTGCAGAAAGCACACCCTACTTTCAGCAGAGGACTCATCCCCAAAGGGCCACACCCATCGATGCTGAGAGCACCTTGGGGCGAGGGGGCTTTAAAGCGTGTAAAATGCTTGTGGGAAAGTGTCACCTTTTAATTCCATTTTCCATGAGCTTTTTGAAGGCCCCCTGTAGGAGGGCAAACACTATGCCAGAAAAGTCCTCCCAGACATGGGCGAGACATGCGCCTGAGCCATTGTGAGCAGGAAAGACACAAGCCTGAGGTCTTTATGCCTTCAGTGTCCCCCCATGCTTAAGCTGGCAATTCTGAGGCAGGCCTGTTTCCAAACAGGGCCTTTTCTTCATCTTAGTGTCAGAGAAAGGACAAGCCGAACGTATAAACGTGTGCATAAATGTGTGCCTTCTTGTTACAGCCTAGCGCCAACCCCAGGCCACGTTACCACCTCCAACAAACCACCAATGTTGACAACGAAATTCGGAAGCTTAAAATAACAGGTCACATAAAATAAGAAGCCTTGGATGGTGTGGAAAAGAGATAACCTTAAAGACTCATCACAAAATAGCAAATCTTAACACACTCGGAAAATGAAAGACTGTAAAACAGGCAATGGCGGAGAAACCGCAAACCCTAACTCAAGCAGCAGCCCTGTGCGGAGCCTTCCCAGAGAGCGGGAGGCTGTCCGGCCCTCTCTGCTGGCTGCACAGGCGGCTGCCACATGGCGGCAGCAGAGCAGGCGGGCAGCGGGGAGGCATGTGCTTGTGTTTGTCATTTCGTCTTCTCTGCGAGGGGCATTATTCCTGGATAAGGCAAGATCCCTGTGGTCAGAGGGAGGCAGCCGAACGCAGATCTATCTGCTGGACCGACGGGAAACTCAGTCGGTCTTTCCCAGCTTTGCAATCAGCTCATCGCAGATTTTTGTCAATTCTTCAATCTCTTGGTTCTGAAAGACAAATGCAGCACGTATGTGGCCCCTTCATCTTCTGAAATGACGGTGATTATAGCTATGTCATCCCTTTCTTATCTCAGGGCTCCCTCACTGGACACCATCCTGTTGTTCAAGGCTGTCCAGTCCCTTCCGGGTCCTGGTGCCAGCACGTGTGTGGAGGGCAGCACTGCTTCCGTGTTTAGACCATGACCTTTGGGCAGCAGCTTGCCAGGCCTGCCTTCCATGGAGGCCCTGAATGGCCAGCTACTGAGCACTTCAGATTTCCCTGCCAAGGGACTTCTGCAGCACATGACCAACCAAACTGCCGGCGACCTCACACGCCAGAGCGGAACTGCCCCATAGGTCTCTGAAGCTGTACACCTTTATGGAGTCAGGCTGCATCATCCTTCTCCTGCTGGTGAATTCGAACCACAGACCTTCAGGAGAGTGGTCCAATGCTTACTCCATTGTGCCACCAAGTCTTCTCAATAGATGACTGACCTCCCCTAGAACATGTGCACATGAGACCGGGAACCTGCTTAATGGAGTAGGGATGAGCTCGGTCACCAACCTCTAACGCGTGTTCATGAGCTTCTTTATTTGTAAGCTGTCCAAACGAGATGGATGAAAGGGTGCTTGCGCAAAACGACCAGGATCTGGGACTAACTTAGTCCATCTGCACCTCCACTGACCTGGGATTCTGGAGTTGTACTCAGCACCCCAGGGCACTAGCGGGGGGAGACAGGCAGAGGCCGTGATAAAAAACGCCTGCTCTGACTGAATGGATACTACAGGCACTATACAGAATCAGAGACATAGAAAGAAAGAAAACACTAGACGAGGGGGAGGGGAACACACAAAGAAGACATTCTAAAGCTGGGGACCAGTAAGAAATCATATGCCTATGAGTTATTTGTCTTTATAGGGCAAAAGGGAGGCCTTCTCGTTTGTCTCCCCCAGAGTCAGTTTACAAAAGAGCTGGATGGAAGTGTCCGAATCTAAAGTCGTATTCATCCAGACCCACTGTAAGCTAAGTACCACCAAAAGCCAACTGTGAGGCAGAAACAGCCCTGTGGCCGGCCAACTGGCTGGCCGGCCCACACCCCCGTCTGTACCTTCTGCTGCAGGGCCCTTTCCAAGGACTCCACCTTCATCTGCTCTTTTCGGAGTCCTGCGTGGAGGGCTGCACTCTCCGCTTTTGCTTTTGTTCGAACCTGAGCAATCTCTTCATTGGCTCTGTTGACGGGTGTTTGTTTGGAGAAAAAAGAGACAAAAAGCACATGGTTAGCCACCAGACAGCAGGAGAATCGGGATACTAGCCACTGATCTCCATGGCACGTGGACCTTGAAGAACAGACTTACTGACAGGAGGGGAAGTAGGGGTCAGCTATGTCGGTAAGTCCGTGTTGATGGATAACAACTCCATCTATACACAACTGCTCAGGAAATGTCCATGGTATGAACCAATGGTCAAATCAACCTTAAGTGCCACCATGGGCTTCAAAATTCCATGTTTCAGTAGAAAATGGGATCGAAGAACATTTTATGAAATAATCTTAGAATGCACTATGCTGGGTGGATGACTGTAGTGACTGTATCTGTGAGAATCAAAGTCAAGAGAAATGATTTTACTGAGATGCTAAAGTAAAACATTAAAAGAAAAGTAATCACGTCAGTTGATAAACAACTAACTAACTAGTGAAAGAATGCTAAAATCTCAATGTATGCAAGTTAAAATTATACAGCTTTTTTTTTTATCACTTTGGCAAAAATGAAGAAAGATGATCTTGCCCTATTTAGGCTGAATCACGTGCAAACAGGCAGACTCACAAGCTGATGGCAGGGATGAAAACCAATCTGGTCTTTGGTCTTTGTGAAGGGCAAGGTGGTAGCAACTATAACACCATGGGCCTAATGCCACTTCCAGTTATCGATCCAACACTTTCACGTGGCACAATAGTGACTGCCCCAGGATGTTTGTTCACTGCGGCATTATTGGCAATGGAAATAGATTCACAAGATGACCTAACTTTCATCAGGAAACAAATGGTAACCTTACAATCAATTTTCAGACATACATTGAGCTATCTGTTCAGACATGGAGAGATGACATGGATGTGTGAGAAGACGTCAAAAGTTTATGGAAAAGTGGAATAGAGAGATAATATTATTCTCCCCCCAAACTTTATCAAAACCTGCTTGTACTAAGTGAAAAAAGTTTGACTTCAATATTACATTAAAGCAAAATAAAACAAAAACCCCTAAACGGTTCTGAATAGTATTTGTACAGGCACAAAGCACAGACTAAGTATTGCTGCTTTGTTCCAGGTCACATACTCATGGCGTTATTCTACACACAGTGTTTAAATACGTCTCTGTGATCAGCAGATGGCGGAGGGAAGTTCTTTCAATAATACACTCTCTCCCTCTCCTTAAGGCGCCGTCATATAAAAGGGCCCATTAAAATAGTAGATGACTTCCCAGGGGAGCTGCTGGGTCAGTTATATTCGAGGTTGAAAGCTAACTATTTTCTAGGATTCTGAATGGGATAATCTTGGTAGAGTTTCTCAAAGGGCACAAGATGATCATAAGAGTTTATTATAAAGAAGCGTTAAGAAAATAGAGAATTGTAATGGTGAGGAAAGGGCAGAAAGGTGCATGAAGGAATTTTCTCCCCATCACAACCAGGCAACTGCTTGTTCTTCCAGGGAAGCAAGGGCTGCCCTATGAGAACTTTGATGGTGTCAAACCTATACCAAGCGATAACAAGGGCTCAAGTAGAAAGAAAATGTCTTGAAAATGATGGCAACAAATATACAAATGTGCTTGACACAATGGATGGATGTAAAGATTGTGATAAGAGTTGTACGAGCTCCCAATGAAATGATTAAAAAAACAAAACAAAAACCCTTTATACCATCTAGCCCAGGGGTCCCCAAACTTTTTAAAGGGACAGTTCACTGTCCCTCAGACCCGTTGGAGGGCCAGACTATAGTTTAAAAAAAACTATGAACAAATTCCTATTCACACTGCACATATCTTTTTTTGAAGTAAAAAAACCAAATGGGGCAAAAACAGCCGGCAGGCAGGATAAATGTCCTGGGCAGGCTGCAAGTGGCCCACGGGCCGTAGTTTGAGGACAACCTGATCTAGCCTCTCCAGCCCTGATCTTGTCCCTTCAGACTTCTTTTTGTTCCTCAAGTTCAGAGAACATTTAATAGGAACATGATCTGAGTCCCTCAAGGATGCCCTAACTGCTGCGTTGACGAGTGGTCCTTCAGAGGGACCACAGAAGGGCTCGAGCTGTCAGAGTGTACGGACCCAGATGGAGGCAATGTCGAGAAACAGTCGCTTCACGTCTGAGACTTCCGCTCAATGAAAGTTTCTGTGATTTCACAGGAGTACTTTATGACATCCTCACATTGTATGTCTTTAATCATAGCACTTCTGGGAAGTGAGAATGGGAAATGGGAACTTCAGAGTTTTCAGAAATGGGAAGAGAGTGAAATGTACAGGTATTACTTTTTAGTTAAAAGAATAAAGTTGGATGCATCCTTCGCATCCCTCCCCAGAATAAATTCCAGATGTATTTGGATTTGAGTATTTCCAAAAGAATCAAACCCTAAGAATCTTAGACGGAATCATGGCGTTCATTTCACACCTAGTGTGGGAAAGGTCTTTGTACTACGGCAGGAAGCCTAGAAGCTGTACACACAGATGAAGAATGGGTACAGGGTACCCAGCGCTGCTCCTCCTAAGGCAAGCGTCTGAACATATAGCTGCTAAAATCGACTGGATTTCACTTTTAAAGTAAATGCAAATCAAAACCACGCTTTTCACCTACCACAGTGGCAGACAACCCACAATTTGGTCTGTTGACAAAACAGTAGGGAAACAGGCCCAGGCAGTGTCCTATACTGCAGGTGGACATGCAAACTGGTTATTCGTCCAATGAGGGCAATTTCACAACATTTCACAAAATTCTCTAAGTGATACATCCTTTGGCAATTAATTTTCTAGGTAAACATTACACAGGTAATTCACACGTACACAACATGACAATAATCATTATGTTGTTTGTTGCAGCTGCATGTGTAACAGCAAAGGCTTTCACATGACCTAAATGTCCAGAAGGAGGGCATTGCTTAGATAAATATGACCCGGCTCAGCAGTGGAATGCCATGCAGCTAGTAAAAAAACAAACAAAATGAGCAAGTTCTTGATATAGAAAGATCATTAAAACATATTGCTGCATGAAAAAGAAAAAGCAAGGTATGCTGTTGTCAAAATGGAGTCGGGGTGGGGAATATATTTTAGAAGCATCAATAGAAATTAAGAGCAGTGATTATCAGAAGATACCGGATACAGTTTTTAATACTTTAAAAATGTTTAAACTGTGCGAAGATGTCACCTATTCAAAAAAGTGAAACAGCACACACACACACACACACACACACACACACACACACACACACACACACACGCCCCGTGGCAGTTCAAAACTGTGAGCTGCACTCTTCCGGTGAACCCTGCCACAACGTGCAGAAGTGCAGACAGCTCTTACTTGTCGAGTCTCTCCTCGGCGTGGACTTTCAGGGCCTGATAGCGCTGTTCCTCTTGTTTAACTCGGGCCAAGTAGTCCTGAGCACATTTTTTCAAGGCTTCTTCATTCTGTTCCAAAGTGATCATTTAAAATAGAATGAATTTTGTTTTCTTCTACCGGAAATACTCCACATACCCGAGTTCTCATTTTTTAAATGGAGAGAAATCTCATCATTCAGACACCCTCATCTATACTCCATGGTCACTGGGAACAGGCACATGTAATGCTTACTCAAGAAGGTCCAGGTAACTAATTTTGAACACCACACTGTAAGGGTCAGTCACACCATATCAATAGTCTCAAATTTTGTTTGGAAATGGTGGTATAACATACAGTTGGCCATCTGCACCTGCACATTCAGCCAACCGTGGATCACAAATGTTTGAGGGGGGGAGGCAATTAAGTAGTCAAAGCAATCCCTCAGAGACTAAGAGGGAACATTGAGAAACACTATTTATACAGCATTCATATTTTATTAGTACTAACACAGTGATGACTTAAAGCATGTACAGGTTCTATGCAGGTACTGTGGCATCTTATAGAAGGGGCTTAAGTGCCCTCAGGTATTGGTGTCTGCCAGCGCACTGGGTATGCAGAGATGGCTGTAAAACAGTAGCCTCTCAGCCCTTCCAAAAATAACCGTGTGTGCAGCCATCATGGCTTTCTGTTTTCAAATGCTTTTCACTCATCTCTCAGGACATCTGGCGTAGGACGAAGTCATTCAAAACTGAACTGAAATCTATTCTCACCTTAGATTAACTGGTGACTATCACTTTTATTTTAACATGAAAATAGTTCACTGCCACTGCTGCAAATGTATCTTATTATTGGCGGTGTGCAACTACCTTAAACGAATACATTCATTAGATCTAAAATTGAAATGAGTAGAGTATTATTAGATAGACAGGGACCCAAACCCACTTGGTTTCTTCTAGAATACAGTTTGAATGCTTCTGCAGTACTTTCCCTAAGACTGAATTGCTGAATGATCAGAAAAAACCCCAAAAACCTTCCTGGAATTCCCTTAGGATCAAAAGGCAATTCCATTTCTGGAATTCCAGCTCCTATGAGGGCTGAGGTTTATTGGCCAAGACTTGCCACTCAGCGGGCTAGCTTCGTAAGCAGTCACCAAGAGGAGACACAGAGAAATCTCCAGAATCAAAGATGTCTGGCCAAAAGGGGCTCCCCAAGTCTCAATTTCAAAGGCAACGCATGCCCTTGGCATTTAGTGTTTGAAGACTTGTTACCGAGAAAAGCACAAAGAGCAAGGAGACAGGGAAAAGACACCACCTTCTTGAACCCTTCCAAGACGCCCTTCAGGTTCTCGTATCTCCTGAAGAGATCCGAAAGGGACCTTTCCACGGAGTTAAGGTCTGCCAAGGCCTGCTCCTTCTCCATGGTCAGTTGCTGGAGGCTCTTCTGAGAGGTCATATTGGTCCTCTGTTCATCCTCTGTGAAGCAGGAGGAAGAGCAATGCCACATTTACTCAGCACTCAATGTCCCCACCGCCCAGGAGCTAAGCACTGTTCTTGGGGGTTCTGCTTCTCAAGAGTTTCATTCAAGTAGGGCAAAAAGGTGGGAGTTACGTTTTGTTCGGAGCGGCCTCTCTCAGCAGGGAAACGTGAGCAGAGACCTAAGGGCTAAGGGGCAAAAGCCATTTGGGAGATGAGTAACACAGATTGGGAGATGAGTAACACAGAGAGGGAACTAAACCAAAGCCAAACCAGTTGCTGTCCAGCTGATTCAGACTCCAGGTGACCTTGTGTGTGCTGGTCAGACTGTGACCTTTCGGATGCAGATCACCAGGACTGTATTTCTGAGCTCCCGCTAGGTGGAGGAAGTTCAACCACCAACCTTTTAGTTAGTAGCTGAGCACTTAACCATTTGTACCACCCAAGAGCTCCTAGGAGAGGAAACAGCTGTGGTAAAGGTATAGTGGCTGGTTGTCTTAAAGGCCTGAAGATAAACAAGCGGCCATCTAGCTCAGAAGCAACAAAGTCCACATGGAAGAAGCGCACCAGCCTGTGTGATCATGAGGTATTGACAGAATCAGGTATCAGATGGGGAGGGCGGAGTGGACACCCAAAGCCCATCTGTAGACAACTGGACATCTCCTTACAGAAGGCTCGCAGAGAGGAGCAGGGTGCAGTGTAGCACCAATAAAACATACAACTTTCCTCTAGTTCTTCAAGCTTTCTCCCCACCACTATCATGATCCCAATAATACCTTACAAATCTAACTAGACCAGAGGATGTACACT